ACCGTAGTTTCTCCTACATGCTTGTAATGGGAGTGAGGCAAGGGTATTGCAATCAGCAACTACATTGCTACATGACACTTAATCCTACACACTGCACCGTTAAGACATTTCTTTTGGCTTTGGTAATTAGCAACATGGACATGTGTTTTAGAATATTATGATCAGACATATTCATTTTGTCTTCCCTCCATTCAGAGGGGAAACAGGCAGTACTGACCAGACAGAGGGAGTATAAGATGGCCGCCATACACGCCAAACAGAGCGGCGACATTGACCAGGCCAAACTGCACTATCATACTGCCAAGGTAACAGAACCAATGTCGGGGTTATCATATGAATAAATCTATTTGTTTGTGTAAGTATTTATAGAAAAAGTCAATCCTAATAGATTTGACCTCCCCTCATGCAGAAGCTGGACGTGCTGCTGGAAGAAATGGACAGCGGCAAACCAGTAGACCTGAGCTCACTACCTCCTCCTCCTGGTCAGTGTAAACACATTTGTTTAGATTGTCACTGGCTGTAGCCCGATTTCTTTACAGAATGGAGCTAAGTGGAATTCATTTCAATCAAGCTAGTCTAGCACTGTGTAATTCAGTTATTGGGTCTCTAGTTGTATCCATGTCTCAAACATATATATTTTTACTAAAATAACAATGTTCTGAAGGTATTGAGTATTGAGTATGTATTATTAAAACACACAACTGGCACTGCACTGGCATTGGCACACATTTTCTTGAGCTTAACTAATCTTGAGAAAGATTAGGAATAAGAAACATTTATCTTCAAGCTCTGTTACACTCTTTGACACTCCTTTTTTTCATTCTCTTTATTTTCTCTTCAGTGCAATCGCTCCTTGCTGATCACACATTTGTTGATATTTCTGAGGCCTTTATACTAACTTACAATACTGTTGCCACTGCAGTTTACTAAACAAATTTTGTTTTCTTGGTTTGGATGATTACGCTCAAACTGGTTTCAAACACATTTGTCTGACATAGACGATCTGTACTGATGGTCTCACAACCTCCCTTTTAATAACCAAGTGGTGCCAGAAGATTCTGTGCTTGCTCTATAATTATTTACAATTCACATACACAATGTTATTTCTCAAACACAGACTTATAATAATATACATATCTTGCATGCACATTGCTCTTTTCCAACTCAAGCCTCGTGTAGAAGTCTGCCTTTAACATGTTTCATAACCTACTGCATAACCTTGAAGTTGTACTGAGTGCTGCCATCTATACATATATTAGTACTGAAATTGAAGTCATTCAATATCTAGGAATTTGGTTAAATAGGAGTCTGACTTTGAAACCTAATGTGGAACAATTGACACAGAATCAGAAGATAAAAATGTGTTTTTTTATGTCATAATTTTAGTTTAGTGTTTTGAAAACTGGAACCGTGCAATCACAGAGATATCTTGTGTTCTAATGTTGCTCATTTCACCTTAAAACTACTTGATGCAGATTACCACTGTGTCCTGTGCTTCATTACAGGGAATACATATTATACTCACCACTGTGTATTATATAAACAAAGTTGGCTGGTCCTCACATAAAACAAGAAGAGAACTACTACACCATCATTTCTGTTAATAAACGGGCCTGGCTAACTCTTGATACCATATGGGTAAATACTGGACTCGGGACAATAGCCATCCAGAACCTTACACCATATAAATAGATTAATTACAAAGCTTTATTGTGTGTTTTATTTCTTCTGCTTACCTGATTAAATAAAGGTTAGAATAGTAATAACCCATCTCCACCCCTCCACAGGAGATGTAGTAGCAGAACACCGTGCACCTCCTCCTCCTCAGTCTTCCTCTAAACCTACTGCTCCTGCTGCCCCTGCTGCTCCTGCACCCGCCCAGGTGGCCACTGCCGGTAAGACCCCAGTAGCCCCGATACTTCCTTCTGAGTTGGGTGCAGCATAGGGCAGATATTAGAAATGCCACATGCTGTTTTGAATTTTAAAAATAAAGTGTGTGTGTGTGTGTGTGTGTTCTGCAAAGACCTGCCTGCTCCCAGCAGTTTGGCAGAAGCCCTGCAGCAGAGGATGGACATATACAAGTCAGCAGCAGAGGGAGCCAAGAGCAAAGGAGATGACCGTAAGGCTCGCATGCACCAGCGCATTGTCAAGGTACAAACCATTGAAATATTATTTAAATACTATTTTCAAAGCCAAATAATTGTTTTCTTAAAACTGATGTATAATGCATACTTACAGCTGAAAAAATCAAATAAGATAGATAAAGATATTTTCAAAGATACAGCTGTGTGATGCACCTTGTATACATGGCTCAGTGCCTCAGTGTTTGGTGGTGTGTTTTATTTGCTTTCCCTGAATAACTGGTGTATGACTCACTTTATTTTGACTGTAAATACCCTCTGTACCATTGACTGTAACTACCACGATTGCTCATTTTACCTACCAGGATAACCTGCAATAATGTCTGTCTTGTTCTCTGAGAATTGTTGAAAGGCAAAGGCAAAAAAATAGGAACCCTCTAAACTGAGTAGATTTATCTGAGGTAGGGTACATGGATGAAACAAAAACATGAAAGAAAGGACAAAAAATAGGTGTGAAGCCTGTATATTGTTTTTTATGACATTGATTTCCATGTGGGAGTTATGCTTTTGTATTTTCTCTCAGCATTTATTGTTTTTTGATGGTTTCTTTATATGCAAGAAAGCCACTTTGTATGTTGGCTGACCCCCTCTTGTTTTTAAGTGGAGTGGGAATGGAAAATAAATTGGTGAGGTTGTGTGCTTGCAAATAGGTTTTATCTATTCTGATTTACAGTGCTCATGTTATTTTTCAAAATAGGAATTGCAAGTCTTAAAAAACCCAAGAACACAATAATAACAGTCTGTGACTATGACAGAGTAATAATTAATATAGTGTATGTAGTAAAGTATCTGAGGGAATTCGTCTTCAATAAGTGATAACCCAATCATCTCCTCTTTTTTTAATAGCAATACCAAGATGCCATCAGAGCTCACAAAGCTGGACGACCTGTCAGCTTGTCAGACCTACCTGTGCCACCAGGTACGTTTCTTCAGGTGTGTTCAGGATAACTTGCATCTTATAATTACAGTAAGTCACGTGTGTGTTGCTCTTCTAGGCTGCCCACCACTTCAGGGCTCAGAGGGGGGTCAGCAGAACTTCCTGGGTGTCCTGGAAACTGCTATGAAAATAGCTAATCAGGATGGAGATGGAGAAGATGAAGAAGAGGATGGACAAAGAGAGGCTGCCAAGGTAAAAATAAATTAGTAAAGGCGCTACCAACTGGTCAAGTTGTTATTGTGCAGCCAAGGAATATGATTGGTTGCCTTTTAACAAAAGCTAGGAAGGTTTTATTGTTTGTCTTGCCAGCTTCTGTAGTAGGCTATTGAATCATTACTCTTTTCTCTGCTGCACCTCCTGCCTTTTCCAACAATTTCATGCTTGCAGTCACAGATACTTTGGTTATTTACAGAACAGTAGCTTGCTATTAAATTCAAATCTCACTCTCTTTAAACTCAAAGAACCATCGAGGTTGCTCTCATTTACAAAGATGTGATGTGATGGAGTTACAGGCAAATTAAAATTAAATGGGGAAATGGGGAAAAAATGCAAATAAAAAATAAAGACAATATAATAATAGTATCAGTTAAAACATCTTCCAAATTCGGACCGTGCTTGGGAAGCATTAATTTGTCTAAATTTAGTGAAGACTTAGCTGTTGAAAGTAGTTTAAAATGTTAAGTCAAGCTCACAAGCGTCTCAAACTATTGCAGTTTATGCAAACAATACTGTATCTTGAAAACTGAATGTATGTTAATTGCATTTGTTTGATGATCACATTCCTTATATTTCCTTTCTCCTCAGCCTGCAGTGCGTCCACCGGCCCAGAAAGCAAAGTCTCCAGCTCCTCAGGCCCCTGGAGGCTCCTCAACTCTAAAACTGGGTACTAAAGGTGTGTTCAGAGTTTGAGGGGGGGTGAATGTGCATGTATGCCTGCCTGCACATGCAAAATGTGTCATACATAAGTGTTACACAAGGCAGAGTTTCACTTCTTTTCTCTTAATTATCCTTGTAGCTCAGCAGCAAGTGGATTTTCTGTTGCTAAGGCGACAGGCTTTTTTGCGTGCAGCACTGCGCTCCAAACAGATGAAGGTAAGACCTGGACTTTTTTTTTTTCTTTGCTGTAGATAGATTCCCTGCCGTCTTTTTGTAGGTGTCGCTGTCTGTTGTTTAATTGGGTTCTTGAACATCTGTTGTGTTGCTGTGCTTTGATTGATGCATCTGCTGCTGTTTGGTTGCTTGTAGGACATGAACGGAGCAGCGCAGCACCTCAGACATGCCAAGGGTCTGGACCCCATGATCACCGCTGCCAAGTCTGGCCTTCCTGTTGATATCACCAAGGTTATAATTCTATTCTTATGTGCAAATGAATGACCTGGGAGATACAGAGCAAGTGTGTGTGTGTGTGTGTTGAACATCTTGTCGCAGGAGCAACCAAATGTGTGAGGTGTGTTAACACAAAGTGTGACAGAAATAGAAGATGGGAGGAAGGAAACATGGGGTGAAATCAAAACACCTTTGTGCTCATCATGGTCACACCCTCTGTGTGTTTGTGTCTCACCTGTGTGTGAGTCTATCTGCATATTTTCAAAGTCATTTTGCTGTTCATATTTCATATAGTTGCCACTTATCCCATATGACTTTCTTTCATTTTGCCTCACTTTTATTTAACATCTTTGCTTCATGTTTTTCTCTCTGACTCAGTCCCACAGCTTAATTACCAAGAATATTATTCTTGTGCCTCTGTTAGTTTGTCTTGTGGTCTGTCTGCAGAATATTATACAAACTTAGAAATAGATATTCATCATTTCTAGTGGAAAGATAGACAGATAGGCCTAAGCAAAGAACAGCTGATAAGATTCTGGTGCATCTGTATCAGGGGTTCTCAAAACTGTGTTGCAAATCATGAAGGATATTTTAAGGGACAAAATCTATTCGAATTTAATTTAAGAGGTAGTAGTTTTGTCTTTTGGCATAACAGCAAGTGGGCAGATATTTGGGATCTCTGAGTTCTCTCCTTTTTTTTATTTTATGTCTAAGAACAGTTTGCTTTCTTTGTTTCTCACCGCATTTGTAATTGTGTCCTTCCTGACAGATTCCCAGTGCTCCAGTCAGCGAGGAGGATTACACCCTGGCTCGCTCCCGTACCTCCCCTCTCTCTCCTCGCTCCAGTGAACAGTACCACGGCCTTATGGATCTGTTGCGGAAGCAGCATGAGGTCAGGACGACCCACCTCTCCCTTCTTCTTCTTTTATGTACATTTCATATGAAACCTCCTAAATCTTGAGGTATATGTGTAACTGGCTTAGTAGTTATGATTATGGCCTTTGTTCATCACTTTGTTTGGTTTTGCAGCTTTTTAAATAGACAAGTTAAAATGTATTCTGTATCCTTTTGTCCTAGGTTATTTTTTTCCTTTTCCTACTCACACCTTTTTTGTTCTGTATCTCGATCTACAGAAATGTCTGGGCTACACTCAGCAGTTCATACTCATGGGCAATGTGGCTGAGGCTCTGAAGTAAGAGACATTCCTCATTTTTATGTTTGTATATGTGAATTTTATTACACATGTTATCTGCAGCTGTGCTGGAATTTAAAACCTACTTAAAACTGTATTTGGATATTTGGGCATCCGACCAGTAACACGTTTATTATATTAATAATTAGATTACAGGTTTGTGGGGAATTCTTTTCATTATCACAAAAACATCACACATAGAGATCAGTTGATTGATTATTAATACTACACATAAAATGGCAAATGCCATCATTATTTTCCAGTGCCCAAAGTCTTCAAATTGCAAATCCTGACCAACAGTCATAAGTGCAAAGAAATACATTTTTTATTACATTAGTAATTAGTAATTGGTTAGATTTTTTATCTGCTAAATTGCAGACTAATCTATTTTTAATTATGTTCAATAATTAAAAGTACAAAGTTGTGGAGAGTGGCGTCACTGTAGCAACAGAAAAATCTCCATAGACCATGTCATCACCATAATACATACAGTGTAACTTCCACACCACACTGCATATTTTGCATGTTGTCCTCACACATTTTCACATACAATTAAACCGTCACATAATATGTGATGCATTACACTTTCTTTAAAATTCCTGAAGAGTCTGCATCACTCCCTTTCTCCTCAGATATGAGTTATCATGAGATATGATCATTTGTGTCTCTGTTTCTCACCAGGTTTGAGAAGCTAGCTGAGGAATGTATGAAGAACATAGATGTACTGAAGAATTCCTACACCAAGGGCCAGCCAGTGCCCAAGTGCCGCACGGAGGAGAGGACCTTCAACACTGTCAAGTTAGCAACAAACTCATAGATTATGGATAATGTTATAATGTTTTCCCTTTTAATGGCATGTGCTCCAGAAGGACAGAAATAACCTAAGTCAACACATTTTATCCATGGTAGAGGCCCTAAGGATGATTAGTCCACCACTTTATATCTAAACAACTATCAAATGGATTATCATCAAATTTTGTACATATATTCATGATTTCCAGAGGATGAATCCTAATAACTTGTTGATCCCTGACTTTTCCTGTACTCCCACCATGAGGTTGACATTTTTGTCTTTTTATTGAAATATCTTGACAACTATTGGAGTGCCATATAATTTGGTGCATATTTATTTCCACCTCAGAATAAATTGTAATGACTTTGGTGATCCCCTGACTTTTATTTGTCCAATACTTTATGATGAATTAGAACTCTATTTAGTTCTAATTAGCAAATTATAGCATTGTTATTGTGAGCATCTAAGCCTGCTGCTAGCATAGCTGTAGACTCTTAGTCTTGTTTGTTAATAAATGCCCAATGTAACCACATTTTCTATTTTACTTACTGTAAAACATTGTATTCTTTGTGGTTGCTACATGAACTGTCTGTAAGCCTTTCATAACAATTATAACAACAATTATAACATTAGCTATGTGGCTCTGTCGTGACGATTGCGTTCCCTGACTAGAGCAGTAAATGAGTCAGAGTGACTCACTATGACTCACTCTGGCTCTGCTCCAGTATCATACCAAGCTAACCGCTAGGTGACTCTGGCAGTGACTCGTCCAACAAATCAGGATTTTTTGGCTCTTGTTGATGCTGACTGGTTGTTGTCTGTCACTCGTGATGCTGTTTCTGAACGGTCATGACTCCTGTTTTTGTTATGTAGGATCCACTCCAGCCTGACAGCTAGTGAGCTGATGCTGTACATCATCAGAGGCATCAACCTACCGGCTCCATCAGGTACTGAAGGCAGGTTTGTATCTTTTGAAATAACCAGGCAGTAATGTGTCAAATGTTCACTCTCGCCTACCTCTCGCTCTGCCTTCAGGTGTCTCACCTAACGATTTAGATGCCAGTGTGAAGTTTGAGTTTCCTTTTCCCAGTGCGGTAAGACTGTTTCACACTCAGAGAGTAGATTATGGATATTTCACTCTGTTTATATCGAGATGAATTTTAATGCATTCACTTATGTGTGTGTGTAGGAGGAGGCTCAGAGGGACAAAACCAGCACAGTAAAGAGCACCAGCAGTCCAGAGTTTAAAGAGCAGTTCAAACTTCAAATCAACCGCACAAACAGAGGGTTCAAACGAGTCGTCCAGTCCAAAGGCATCAAGTTTGAAATCATCCACAAGGGGTAAAAAACACCATGGCTTTGGGGCAGTATACGCAGAAGCTTTCCTCATGATATATGCTGTGAATGTCACATCCTTTATTCTTTTGTCAGTTGTATTCTTCTCTTACTCTATTTACAGAGGCCTGTTTAAGACAGACAAAGTAGTGGGCACTGCTCAGCTCAAGCTAGAGGCTCTAGACAACCACAGTGACATCAGAGAAATCATAGAGGTGAGCGTTGATAACATGTAAAATGCATACACACACACACACACACACACACACAGACCAGATCATCGAATGGTGTGTATGTGTTTCGTAGGTGATGGATGGACGTAAAGCTACAGGTGGCAAGTTGGAAGTGAGGGTGAAGATCAGAGAGCCAATATCAGGAGCTGATCTCCAGCCAGTCACAGAAAAGTGGTTGGTTCTCGATCCTGTGTCCTCCCTTTCTCCTCCAGAAAGACAAAAGGAACGGGTGAGTAAAGTTTTCAATTCCCCTGACCTGCATTTGTGTAGACTGTGGAAAGAAGCTGAAGCAGAGCAAATAGCTGTGATTCCTCCAGAGGACACAGAAAGAACTCGCAAACTGCTCACAAAGGCTTCAGCCGGCCAGGTCAGGTTCGCACTTAAGATCTTTGTTGTGTGAAATTTCTGTGTGAAACTGAGCCAGCGTGCCATCCTAAAAATTATGTCATATATGTCAAAGTCAATATGCTCTAAATAAAGTGCTTGTAAGATCATCATATGGCATCTGAAATCTCCCCCCACACTATTTCCAAGATTGGAATTAAGGACTGCAGTTTTTATAAAATTTCTCAACCGGCGATCTGACAATCATGCCCCATGGAGGTTTGAAATTACTGGAAATGTTGGAGTATCGATAAAAAAGGGGAGTGCCTAACCAGGGAAAGGGGATTGCTGTATAACTTCAGCTACACGTCTGATATACATTATATCTATTGCATTCCTGCCCGTATCTAACGATGTTTATCGGTATGGTCTCTTTTAAATATACAAATCAGTAAATAATATTTATTTTTCAAAATTATAATTGATTAGTTGTCAGCTATTAAATCAATTGCTAACTATTTTGATAAGTGGTTAATTGTTTGAGTTTTTTATTTTATTTTATTATTCTCTCAGCTTCTGAAATGTGCATATTTCTGGTTTTGTTAGTCCTGAACTGAATATCTTTGGGTTGTGGCCAAAACAAGATATTTGAGGACATCTTGTTTTCATGCTTTGGGAAAAAACCCAACCCTATTTGCAAGCCCTATAAATGCAGGAGTAACAAAAGCTAACTTCATCGGTACAAAAGTATATTGACAGTATCAGGTCAGTGAAGTCTCAGTGGGTGTGTTTGTTTGAATCAGGCTCCATCTCCTCGGTCTAAACCAAGACATGAAGCACCCAGCAGGAGCAGTCATCCCAGCAACTCCCCTCCACAGTACAAACTCCACAGCTTCAGCCTCCTCAACTATGATAAGGACCGGCTGGAGAGAAAGGTATTTGTGTGTGTTTATGTGGTCTAAGCCTGTCCACAACATCCACTTCTCTAATACTTGACATGGCAAGTCATGAAGGTCTCGTCAGTCATTATGTCTGTCTCTCAGATGGCAGAGTACCGAAAGACGCGACGGGACCCCCCATCTGACCTCATCCATCAACACAAAGAGGTCACACACAGACTGCAGTGGCAGAAAGCCCAGCTGGAGCGAGCCTCTCCTGCTCTGCTGACAGGTAACTCTCACACACACACGCAGAATACATACCAGTATGTTCATTACTAACACATGTGAAATAAATGCCTCAACCTCTCACACACATTACCCACGTTTCCCTTCCCCACATCTGCAGAGTATGAAAATGTGCTGCGGAGATTAGTCCAAGGACTTTCTGACTCTGTGAAGAAATACTCCAGCCAAGGCAACAGAGTGAGTAAAGGATCAGTTCTGAACTGAATGTTGTCGTTGCTGCTCACTTGTTTGTGCGTGTGTGTGTGTGTGTGTGTGTACACATTGGATCTTATTGTATAAAGTTTCAATTGTCTTTTTATAGGACGTTGCCAAGGATGCACTGGGCAGGTTGAAGATGGTAGAGAGTGAGGTAAGGGTTGCTAAGCACTATACATATAAAATGTATTATCATCATCTTGTTTGTGCAGATATACAATGTATGTACTCCTCTTCTCTCTGCTTCAGCTGGAATCGCTGCAAAGGAAACGCACTGGATGAGAGGAGAGTAAAGGAATGGAGACTTGGCTGAAATACTGTTATATTCTCTCTCTCTCTCTCTCTGACTCTGACTCTGACTCTCTCTCTCTCCCGCTTCTCTCTCTCTCGGAGCAGGTCGCTCTCTCTCTCTCTCTCTCTTCTCTCTCTCTTCATTTCATAATATACATATATATATATATATACAAACTCTACAGTGGGTACTATAAGGCCATGACAGCTGCATGAACCAACCTGATGATTCTGTCAATTGATCATATGACTTGTGTCGCCTGCCACAGTATCTAAGATTAAATCTGCAAAGGGACACAGACATTAAAACAAGCATTAAAATGAGTTAAATAGCTGAAGGAGATGCAGGCTTATTTGCACTTAATGAGACAAACACTACAGATGCTTTTAAAGTTCAGCTTCCAGTTTACAGACTTTACCTGTATTCTAATTGTTTTGTTTTCTTTATTTCCAGCTTTCCTTTGAGAATTGTGTGACGAGATCCGTCAAATTTTACATTTGAAACCTGCTCAGAGAGTCTTTCTGTGGCCATAGATGACCAAAAAAATGTGTGCGCGTGCTCCGAAGTGTGTTTAACCAGTGGACTGAGGTGTTTTTAACCCCTTTTCCCATATTTTATGTGTGTAATGAGCTTAATCTAATCTGTCTGCTCCAGTGTTCCCAGATTACAGTAATCTGCTCCATTTGGAGTGGTGTGATATGGGAATAAAAAAACGGGGCTTCGGGGCGCTGCAGTCGACATCCCATAATGAGGGATTAGTGTTTGTGTCACCAAGGAGACGACTAGATCAGACGTAGAGTCGCCTTTGGGGCTGGGGAGAGGGGGTGTTAACAGCGTGCCCTGAATGTGGCAGAAGCTTAGTTCTGCAAAAGGATTGCTTCATCTTCTTCTTCTTCATCAGCTGTTTCTTCTTTGTTGCCTGTTCGTCTTCACTTTCTTTACAGTAATTCCTTCGCATAGATTATGCAGAATCACGAGTAATGGGCTGCTCCACTTGGATTTTCTTCAAACTCAGACAATGTTAAGTCTATTGTGCTGTCGATTAGAAAATAATTAACAGCTGCTGCGTCAGTGTGCTATATACTTTTGGCATATTCAGTTTACAAAACTAGATTCTGTCCCACTGAGCTCTCCAGTGGCAGCACAGTGGAGTCTGCCCACAGGAAGACAACCCAATATGTGTCAGTAAGGCTGGGTAATTGCTCATTTCTATTTCTGTTCCCCCATACAGACAGATAGACATCCCTGTCAAAGGCATCCTTGTCATTCCTCTCAACTTCACACTTGTTTTGTAAAGTCAAGGGGACAAAATTAAATTTTTTTTAGAAAATGTGGGACGAGTGCTGGCACCTTGAAATTAAAACTTTTGCCTCAACACCAGATGAACAAAAACAGTAATGTGACACATTTGTCACATTACTGCCATGTATTCTCTGCTCTGTTTAGTGCTCTGGACACTGGCTCTGTTTCCTCTGTGTCTGATAGCAGCTGCTGTTGATCTACATTGATTGCATGTGGTCAGTATGTAGCAGACTACTTTAAATGAGCCTTACTGTATGTTTCTATTCGACATCATGTGGATGATGTCTGTTAACTCCACTAATAGTTTTTTGGTCACGTGACACAGCAGAGGATCATGTGTTTGCTCTAATCCACCCACTGCCTCACCCCATTAGCAAATAATCCTGGTTAAAGTTGACCTGATGTGGCCCTCCATAGTCTGTGTTGATTTTTATGTAACACCCCTTCCCCCACTTTTTTTTTTCTATAAGGAGCATATCTTCTGACTCTTTTTGTGCTTTTGATCAGCACTGTACCAGATTGCCCCTAACCCCCAAACCTTCTAGCTCCTTAACTACAAGTCATGTAAACGTGTTTTTCAAAGCATGCAGCACAATTTCAGATTAGACATATATTCCCTACTGGCCAAGGCAGCCATTAGTTCCTAATTATTTCTGTGCAGTACGAAAATCATTTAGCAGACTTTTGAAACTTGCTTGAGTTGGATCCAAACATTTGGCCCACGGAGTGTAATCCATCACAGCAAACATCAAATCTGCATTAATGTTCTTATATCTTGCATTATGCAGTTGTGCAGTTTAAATACAGATTTATTTGTTATTAGCTCTGCATTAATGCTAGATTAATTTAAAGAGTCAACTAATTATTTTAATTTTTTTACTTTTCATGAATGGAAACTATTCAGAAAATTGAACTATAGTTAACATTTAGGTTCATTATTGGTTACTCTGCTGATTACTCAATTTATACATTTATATATTATTAGATTATGTTATAAAATACCAGAAAATCTTCTTAAAACCCAAGTCAACAGCTTGAGATTTCTAACATTTCAAATAATAAATACATGCGCAAAACCCAGAGATATTCAGATTACTGTCATATAAAACAAATAAAAGCAACAGATCATCATGGATTAGAAGCTGGATATAGGTGGTGTTTGGTGTTTTGACTTGAAAAATAACAAACAAATATTAAATGGATTAATGATCTAATTGTTTCAGATGTACAAAATATACTCCAGCAACATGTTTTTCAGAAGGTCTAGCTGTGATGTGAACTGGTTTGTAGTAAATGAGCTAAAACATGCAGCACTCACACACACACAAACTGCAACTGCACAAAACCTCTTTCTTCTTCTTTCACCCCAGAACCTTTAACCCCGTGTCATCTCAAACACACACACACTCACTCCTGCCACATCACCCCACTACTCGAGTCACCTCGTGGCCTCTGAGGCTGTCCTGTTGTCATGACAACGAGCTCATCAGCATTCAGTATGTAGTTGGATGGTCAGGACCCGGGTAAAGGAACATATTGTTAAAGTTTGTCCCGCTGGTGACTCACACTCCTTTCTCACATTTATAAGACACCACACACACACTCCTTCTCACTCTTTCTTTTGTTTTGTTTTGCTCTTTTATTTTTATCATACTCTGTAATCTTGCGACACTCCATTTTAGAAAAAAAAGGGGAAGTTTGGTGGATTGTTTGTCGTTATTGTTAGTACTTGTGTCCTGATCAGCTGCGGTAAATGTATTCATCTTGGCTTGGGGAAATACTATTGTTGAACCTATTGAAGTTTTTTAATCTGTGAACTCATGTAAGGGCAATCAATATAAATGTAATATTTATATACAGCATAATATGCACTGTCTCTATTTTTAAGTGTAAGTCATGATTTGTGCAGCTCAAAAGGGGAATGTATGAAAGCCTGATTGTTTAGGCTTTATTATCTTGTGTATGAGGTTGGTGATAACATGAATAAAATGGTGAAACAGCACTGAGTTTATGTCTTTATTGAACTCAAAAAACATACTTAACGTGTTTGTATCCACCTGATACTTAATGACTTTTGTTAATTGTACATGAATTGCTTATAAACATGATTTTGAATAGCTGACATGAGTTTGCCACAGAAAAGTACATGTTAGGGTTCTCAGGGCTGTGAAACATAATATAGTTTCATATTATCTGTGATTTTATACAGCACATCCCCAAAACTTGTAGATATGTAGAAGCACACAGATGTAGGGGTCTGTGCCTGGAAGTCTAAGTTGATTGGAATATATTTATTCATACATACTCAATATGGCACATGAAATGTTTGCTTATTTGATGTAATGATACTTTATGGTCATTTCTATATTCTGTCAGAATTAAATGTCCAAGCTCAGTTTATGACAAAGGCAAGAGTTACCCTTCAATACTTCCCTACATAGTGAGGTTAAAGAAGGTCATAAGAAACGAAACATATTCGTATATAGTATTGGTGGATTTGGTAAGAAGTAATACAATGTGGGGGAGAAGTAAAGGGTTCAAACAATACAATCAGACACAAATAGACAGTGCCTGCTGTTGTTGGGGGTGAAGCTCGGTGCTTTGGTGTTATGCTAATATCGCATCTGAATGTGAAATTTCCCCTGACAAAGGGGGGAGAGATGAGAGGGGGGATGGTGCACAGAGACAGAAAGAGGGGAGCAAAATTGGACAACCCGCGAGACTTTGGTGGGCGTGGACACAGCGAGGGCTTCCTGCTCGGGTGAACACGTGGTTCCGCGTCTGCATCCCTGCTCGTCTGTCAGTGTGTGAAGGTTTCCAGCCCTTCTCTCACTCCTCTCCCCCCTTTTTTTTGTCCTCCCGTACAACACAGCAGACCTTCTCCTCTCTTTACTCCGTCCCACCCGCACCTCCACCTCCTGCTACACTTCCCTTCCTTCTCGGTGCGACGGTTCCCGGGACTACCGACAGCCAGGCCGCGGTCACTTCAACGTGTATCCGCTCGGAGAGAGAGAGAGAGAGGGAGAGGAAGGGGGAGAGAGAGAGAGAGAGAGAGAGTGTGTCTGTGAGAAAGTGTGTGTGTGTGTGAGAGAGAGTGTGAGTGAGTGCGTGTGCGCGCACCCGCCCGCAACCGGTCCATCCGTGTTTATTTCTCCCCACTATCCCGCCTCGTTATTCGGTCATGACGCTGGAAGCGATCCGCTACCGGGCCGGGTCTCTGCAGATCCTCAACCAGCTGCTGCTGCCACACGAGACCGTCTACGATGAGATCCGCTCGGTGCAGGACGCTTACGAGGCCATCAAGTCCATGAAGGTACCGGAGCTCCTTTCTCTGCCCCTTCTCACAATGGGGCTTTCTCTCCCACCTCCCAGCCGACCTGCATGCCCGCTGCAATGTGCATTCATTCCCATCGTGCATGTGTGTGTGTGTGTTTTTTTTTTTTTCTGTCGGGTCTTTTGTGCTCCCACCGCTGCACGCATGTGTTGTCATGCCCGCCGCCGTGCTCCCGCTGTCGGCCTGTATTTTTGTTTTGGATGCACCTGCAGCACCCGCCTGCTACACACAACTCCCCGATTATCTGCCCCCCCTCCTTACCTAAATAACAACCTTTTATTTATAGTTTTCCCATTATCATGTGCAAACTATGTATCTGCACACAGCCACCAGTGAAACATCCCCCCTCCTCCTCCTCTTTCTTTGGGAGAGATTATTGATGAATTATTAATGACCTTTTCCAGGGTTTTTTGTTCGCGTTTCGGTCTTGTGCTGCACTCAGTGACACCTCCACCTCATTTCTTCCTCCATGCCTGAAGCCCTGACACACACACACACACAAAACACACACAACACACACACACACACACACACACACACACAGCTGTACAGACAGTTGAATGTTGTTCAGATGTTCACTCATTAAGACTGAGCATTTCACTCTTTTGTCTTCCCAGTTACACACACACACACACACACATGCACATAAAGCAGCTCCACATTTGATCTGTGTGTGTGTGTGTGTGTGTGTGTGTGTCAGAATGAAGGAATGTACCATAAGCAGAGAGGGTGATGTCATTATAATGGAGTCTAATGGCAGAGAGAGAAATGACTCAAAGACAGATGATATCACTTCAGTCAAAGCTGTCGTGACAACTTTTGGCTCAGTCGTCACCCTCTTACAACTCTGTGGTGGAAAAAGATGAATAACAGTCATGAAAGCAGGGAGAGAGCTGTTGGAAGTGGGCACAGAAACCAAAGACCAGGACCACGGTGTGATGCTGACTCTCCTCTTCCCTCTCCTCCAGGTGCGGGGCGCCCCGGCCATCGCCATCGTCGGCTGCCTCAGCCTGGCTGTGGAGTTGCGGGCAGGTGCTGGAGGTGATGACCCCGTGACCTTCATCAGGGAGTCTCTGTGTCACCTGACCTCAGCCAGGCCAACCGCTGTCAACATGGGCCGCGCCGCCCGCGAGCTGATGGAGTTTGCTGAGAACGAGAGCATGGAGAAGAACTCGGAGCAGCTCAGAGAAAGGTGGGCTGTCACCAACAGGATGGATGCACACACTCATTGTTCGTTATTTGATTCACTGAAGCACTGATTAAACAAAAACACTCACTTGCAGTCTTAATGTAAGTGATCGACAGTCCTGAAAAATGCATTTCAGAGTTCACCTAAAGCTACTGTGAGGCCTACGCCGTTTGATTTGGCCGAATCAAATGGGAATCTTCAAAGGTTGCTGTATTTTTACTACAGTATGTTTACCTGGAGCTCTGCAAGGAAACCCCGTCAGGGGGAGCAAAAGAGGAAGATACCTGCTTGATTTGTCTAGCTCAGATTGCTGAAGCCTCATAATAGCTTTGGCTAAACTTTGACATGCAACCAGGTGGATTTTGTGCCCTACACTTGCACTGAAATCACCTTTTTTAGTCGTGTGGAGAGGAGGAATGATTACAGTTTTTAAAAAGACTCCAGAAAATGTAAACATATCCTTTAATTTAAGATTTGTTTGGTAATATCTTGTCTACCTGCCTCAAAATTTACATGGTGGCAAATATGTTTGTGTTTTACAAAATTATCCCAAAAAGGGGGGCATGTAGTCTACTGAGGGCTCCAGTGTGTCCTTGAAAACCTGGAGTTCCACCTGGAAATTGATTAAAATGAGCAAATATCCTGGAAAACTGGATATCTGTGTTGTGCTGGTCTGAAACTCAACTGTTGGTAGGACGAGCTGCGCGGTCTGACTCTCAAAGGACAGACGCAAAGGGAAACAGAGAAAGGCTCCTTTTTCATTTCTGCTCCCACGTTAGTCAAAAGCTGTTCACACCTCTCACAGTCTATTGTGGAATTACTGTAGATGTAGTGATCCAATAATGAGCCATTAACATTTTTTGTTGTGGTATATAAATACATGCACAGCGATGTTAATTGTACGTGCATCACTTTCTGCCTCTTCTTTTAATCGGCTAATAGGTGAGAATGTGAATTTTCTGCTAAATAAATTAAATTCTACTGGATTTGAACTTTTTATTTTTGGGCTGTAACTAAATTAATGTTGCTGTTGGAGGAAAACTTGCGCAGCTCCGCTCCACTGAGGCCATAGTGGGATCTGATGCGGTGAGACTGGCCAAGTGCGTACCACGAAAGTGAGCTAACGCCGAGTGCATTTATCTCGACTTTGGATTAGCTTTCCTCCGTGCATGGCAGTCTAATTTAGTTAAAGGTACCAGGTGGAGATTTTGATCAGTAGTAGCGCTATGGAGCCATGTTTTATTTGTGGGTCCCTGTTTTGTTTGTTCTTGCACAAAAGGACGTGATACGCATTCCTCCCAATGGTTTTTCATTATTCTTCTAATCTGCTGCTGGAAGACATTCGGGGGAAAGAACACAGCAATGTGCTAACAAAGGCAGGGAAGAAAAAGATGGACATGGAGGTAAATAATGTGTGGGGCTTTTTTTCCCTGTCTTTATTCAAGAGTGTGGTCTTTCAGTTTGAGAGCCTGAGATTTTGTAACGCTTTCTGTCAAAACCCTGACCCTGCTTGTGCGTAGATTTTCTCTGCTTCGACTCACACTGTGTGCCTGCACTCAGATATATTGTTGCTTGCACAGATTTCCTGCGCTCCAGCTGCAGCCCTTCTCGCAAAGCGTCTGCTTCCGTACACTGGTGAACAGTCTGCTCTCAGGTTTCTCCTCTGCTCTCGGACGTTTGTGCAATAACACAGAATTCCCCAACCGACAGAATCCCAGGTGCTGACCAATTGAAAAAAAACCCTGCCTTGTTGGGGGCGCATTTTGTCCTATCATTAGAAGAAATTTTTTTTAAAAAAAACCAAAGGGAAATCTACTGAGTCAATCTACTCAGCTCGCCTAATCAAGGTTAACCAATTAACTGAAAGTCTAAAAGTTAAATAGGCCACCATTTGGGACTCAGAGAATGAAGGTGAGTTACAGACGGGATACAGGGAAGCATGGTTTCAACTCAGAGCATGTAATAAAGGCTAGGCTTCCATGACTACATTTCAGGAGCAGGTCAACACTACACCTGAAATTCTACTGGTTGTTGACTTACGACAGGGTTATTACACAAATGTAGGAGCGATGTTGGTGTTGGTGTTAAAAATATCATCCAGGTGGATAGTGGCTTTCATGTTCGGACAATACACTAAATTTTGGGAAGAGATGCACTGATCCAATAGCTCGGATCTATATCTGCTCACATACTGACCAAGGTATCGGCCAGATGTGTTTCTTTGTCAATGGAATTATAAAAGTCAGTGTTTCTGCTATCAGTTACAGTCGTTCAGTCACGACATGTTACCTCTCGTAACCATGATTCAAAACATTTCCACGCAGAGAGGTATACAGTTTTGGTTGAGTCACAGTGCAGCAGAGTGGATGGGTCATGTTAATTGTTCTGAGTTTATTTTAATATACTATATATAGTTTGTGATGAAGAGTGACACTGGAGCTAAATGACCTAGTGGGGGCGCATAGAGGAATTTTGGTTTTTAAAACTTGAGTTGATCTGAAAACCTGTTGCCAGTCCATGGAGCAAGACATAATGGACTGACACTGCAAGTGTACAAAAGATGAAGAAGAATGTGATACAGCTTTGGTAGAAGGAGAAATACGGGAAAAACATAACTAAGAAATAGATTCATTTAAAAAAAAAAAGATTAGGAATAAGAGAAATAGAGAAAAGAAGTGCGGACAAACAGAAACATGCAGGCATATTGTGACTGCAGACTTGATGGACACATTATGTCCACAGTGGCAGACGAAGCCTCTTCTCATTTCCCACCTCTTGTTGGCCCCTCTCCTACAGTGTAATTGCCTGGATCGAAGACATGCTGGAGCGTGACGTCAATGACAACAGGAAGATCGGTAACTATGGCGCCCAGCACATCCTGTCTGGCGTCCCGCGGGACTCTGTGACCATCCTCACACACTGCAACACCGGCTCGCTGGCCACAGCTGGATACGGGACCGCCCTCGGTGAGACCAGAGCCGTGGGTGTGAATGAGAAAAGAGGGTGATTGTTAAAATATTTATGGCACTGTAACAATAACATCTTGTGTTTGTGTGTAGGCGTGGTGCGAAGCCTCCACGCGCTGGGCAGGCTGAAGCGTGTGTACTGCACGGAGACGAGGCCGTACAACCAGGGATCCAGACTGACGGCGTATGAGGTGGTAGCAGAGGGAATCCCTGCTACACTCATCACAGACAGCATGGCTGCCCTCACCATGAGAGAAATGGACATCACAGGTGTGTGTGTGTGTGGGGGGGGTGTATCATGTCTCTTTTTCCTTTTTTATTCAAACTTTTCTCTTTTCTTAGCGCTTACTTTCTTTCTGTCATGTCCTCCCTCAGCTGTGGTGGTGGGAGCTGACAGGGTGGTTGCCAACGGTGACACAGCCAACAAGGTGGGAACATACCAGCTGGCCATCGCTGCAAAACACCATGGCATTCCTTTCTATGTGGCTGCACCCAGCACGTCGTGCGACTTGAGCCTGGAGAGCGGCAGGGACATCATCATCGAAGTGCGCCCCCCCGAGGAACTCACCAGTATAAACGGAGTCCCCATCGCTGCCCCGGGTAAGAAGTGTGGGATGTTAGTGATTTATTTCGGAGGGAGGGGGATTCACAAATGATGTTTTAGAAATATAAAATGAGACGAAGGAGTTCAAACTCTTTGAAAAAAGTGAGTTCAGTAGAGTACTGAGAGTGATGGGAGAACATCAGGCTTGGAGAGATGGATGAGCGTGGCCTAGTTCCAATGTCCGCCCTAAGCCCTACACACTCACAGACTTTCATTGACGTCACATGCAGTGTAAGTGCCAGAGTGAAAAGAAGGTGCAAGGGCTCCGAATGCTGTACAAAGAACCAGACAGCAGTTTGTGAAATCAGAGCCTCACAGGTGGTTTCACAGAGTGTTAGCTGCTATCTGTCTGTAAACTTTTTGTTGGGGGTAATTTATTGTGCCTTTTATTAGACAGTGACAGTAGATGTAGACCAGCTATGTTGGAGTTCAGCACCTTAAATCCCTAGACCATCAGGCCATCCCCTGACATTGTTTTTAACATTAGATTGTTGTCCTCCTTTTATAAAATGATTTACAGAGACCCGACAGTTCCCACTGTGAGCTACTGACTCAGTCTGAGTCCATAAGAGCAGACACTGAAGGTGTGTTTGGGGTGAGTTTGTTAGAGCTCAATTGAGTCATTTGAACTCTAATTACGTTGCCAGAGCAGAGAGGTGCTCGGTGACATCACAGTAATTAAAGCACATTCATTTAATGAGCCCACTGGCCCCTGGAGAGGAGGATGTGTGCTTGTACATTACTCTCTTTAACTTTCCCCTCACACGCTTCTCTGGTCCTTCCTGTAAGCAGCATTTCAGAGTACAATTGATTAGGGATGCACAATATGGATTTTTTTCCCCCAGCCGATACGATAACAGATAATTTACCTGCTTCTCATGGCTAATAGTGATAAGATTTCCATTTCCAGTTTTGTATTTTAGAAAGTTCACAAGCTGTTATTTATGCATATTGGAGGCTAGAAATGCTGAGATGCAGAGAGCAAATATGGATGATTTTAATGTTCCAAAGCTCTGGTCTTACTGATATCACTATTGTTTACACAACCTCAACAAACAGTTCATTTTTTTCTGGTAAAGTTGGTGAAAAACATACTTTGGCTTTCATACAACATAAAGCCTATCAATAGTTTTGCATAAGAATCCAGAATAACTTCCATCGGTTGTAATTTAATTATCCCAGTAAATCACAGTATAAATAATAATTGAAGACTCCCTTTATTGGACAATAATTTATCCGCCCCGATAAATAGGCTGCCATTATTTTATATTTAACAACAACTGGTTAATAAAACTTATTGTACTAACAAGTATAACCTGTGTAGCCAAAACCTGATGTAGCTCGTTGCTCTGTGCCACCGAGCTCCGTTGTTGTCCAAAGACTATTAAAACCGCATCAGTGAGACACATAGTTGCACCGGGTGAGATGTTCCTTCATTACCATAAACAAAGGCACTGTAGTTTATTTAGAGTCAATCCCACATACACCGTTACACGGCTGCTGTAAATACTAATTAGAGGACCAAATGTGGACTTATCTGTGGCTTAAAATGGTCCCCAACGAATGCACTTTTTACTCCTCTAGTCCCTGCATGTTTTAGGAAATCACTGAGCCTTTTTAAAAATGAAACTATAGATTAGTGACCCGGTTAAAAGATTTATGTCTTTCTTACTCTGTCTGAGCACCACAGACTAGGTCCTAATTCCCAGCCTACAGATCCTTCAGCTTCAAAGAGTCATGAGATAACTAATGGGATTGAAAAACAACCCATTTCTATATTTTCTATTTATATATATTTAACATTTTCCAGACATTTCTATAATTATTGCTGTTTTCTTGTGAAATACTGCAAAGTTTTGATATTTCAGAGTTCTAAAAATTCCACTGATACTGCCACCTTAAAACACCATGTTTCTGCAGTATGGACAAACCTAACACTGGCTGTAGAGAGGGTCGCTGCCACCGTAGTTTCACCTACACACTTCACAGCAGGATCTCATTCCCAGTTCGTCTGATACAAATGCGAGTGGTGTTGCAGTCTGCAACTTCCCCGCTAGATGCCACTAAATCCAACACACTGGTCCTTTAAAGTCATGCATCAACATTTGAAATAATACAAAGTAACAGAAAACTTTTATGTCACAATAACTGATAGATAGTCAAAATATACTAGAGTAGTGGCTAAATAGTTCAAGGTCCAGTGTGTAACATTATGGAGGATCTATTCGCAGAAATGGAATATAATATGCATCATTATATTTTATTAGTGTATAATCACCTGAATTTAGGAATAATTATGTTTTTGTTACCTTAGAATGAGCTGTTTTTATCTACAGATATCTACGGTCGCCTTCCATGAAGTCTGCCATGTTAAACGACCATGTTTCTACAGTAGCCCAGGAGGATGTTAGAAATAAGTGGCAGTGTCGACGTAGGGGCACTGAGTTCAACCGAATTTCATCAAGAGCTTTAGAAGCACTGATCTGTCAGTATCATCAACGTGTCACTCATTGTGTCTTGCAGGTATCGAGGTGTGGAACCCGGCCTTCGACGTGACCCCTCACCAGCTCATCACAGGAGGCATCATCACAGAGCTGGGAGTCTTCCTCCCCTCTGAGCTCCAGGCGGCGCTCACCGGCCGCCTCACTGCCCTCTAGAGCATATCCTGCTGGTCCGTGTGCGCCCTGCCCCTGTCACACACTCAAAGACACTCTCATTTCATTACACAACACATACACACAGTCATAGTTGTGGTTTAATTTCATTTTGGTCGACGCACAATCACTGTTACATGTCAGTGGTGCACACAGAAAAAGATATGTGACTCACCCACACAGTCACTGCAGGGAGTCAAGCAGACACACATGTGCAGTCTCCCCTTTCTTTTATGTCCTTCATCGTTTTCTGTGTCTCCATTTTACCTTTTACCAAGTTTTCCTCCTTTCATTATCTCTTGCCACCCCTTTGTCTTTCTAAATGGCTTCTATGACAAGGAATAGCGCTCAGCTGGACTCAATCCCATAAATTCTATTTGGCAAACAATTTTTATGAGTCATCACTGAGGTAATTTTTCAGGGCTTCGTCAACTACAGACAAAACAACTTCCAAAAAAGTCTAAGTGTTTAATTTCAGAGTAGTGGTTTTTATCAACCGTGGTTTCTCAAATGCTGCTACCCACTTGTAAATATACATATCCTCGCTGGTAGTGTGTACATATGTAGAAAACTAACCCCTGCTAGTAGAAGGTACTGCTATTTTAACCAAATATGTGGTTATTTAAAATTAAAGTTGACATCAAAAATGTTATATTAACATTTAATTTCTTTCATTCTGTGTAGAAAACTTTTGTAGGAATAATCCAAATTTATAGCTCATGGATTTTCACTACAAGGAAATATTTAGTGATATGAAAAATCTCATTTTGCTCTCACTTTTTACCCTGTGCCGCAAAATTTTGAACAAGTGGAATTTCTTGATCAGTCCTCTTAGTCAGCTGAAGCCTATGACGATACACGGCTGTATTTATACCTCACTCTTTGTTTGCATCTCGCTATTCCCAGTTGTATTGTATCATACCAAACATGTATTCTCATAATGTACTTATATATATATGTAGCCATACTTATTTCAGCACCATAAAAATATTCACCGTACTGCACAGGACACTGAACAAAAAATCTAAAAAAAGAAAAAAAAGGGAAATTGTCATTTTGCCATAACAGCTTTTGCTGTGAGGTCCGTCATGCTGTTGTATTTCTGTAATACAGGCATCACTATTAAAGGCATAGTTCACCTCAAAATGAAGGTTTGGTCATCTGCTCACTTGCATGTCAGTTTACTAATGTTTGTGCAACCCGCAAAATAATTATGTTGCTATTACTTATTCAGTCAGACTTATCCCAAATTATTTTAAAATATCAGTCAACATGTTTTACAGCCTGTAGACATGTTTAAAAATAATCAATTAATACCTTAATATATCTGTATTTCCTGCCACTGCAGCGTGTTCAACTAGATCCGCATCAGAACAATAAAGGCAAGCTAAATGTTGGACTTTAAAGCTAAACAAAACACTTTTATTATATTAAAATGACTCCATGTAATATGAAAGTGACGGACCCACAGAGAATTATCACTCGAAGAGTTGAGTGATAATTCTCTGTGGGTCCGTCACTTTCACGGTTCCCGTCAGAGTGTTTTAGCTTTTTTCATCTCGTTGTTTTGGTTCCAGCTTTACTGTTTTGGTTCAGTCTCACTACTGTCATCAACCTCTATTTTTAGACACAGGCAGCAGTTTTCAGTGAAAAATCCCACTGTACACTACCTGCTCAGCACCAAACAGACAGACGCAGTTAGCAACTTGCTGCTGAACATAGTGGAGCATTAAGCCGCTAAAGAGGCAGATATTTCCATAAGGAGCTTAAGAGAGCTGAATTGAGAGTAAATACTGGACTTGCATTTGTGAGTTGGACACAAACATGACTCCAAATAAATGATTATGTTGCTCTCTGCCCACACAATGTGTAAATAAGCATCTGTTTGCTCACAACTTTATAAGGTGGCAATATGTCAGTGCTGTGTTTACAGCTCACTGTGCTGCCCCGAAGTGGACAAATCCATTAATGCAGCTTTTCCAGGTGTTTGACAGTGTTTGGAGAAACAAACAATTTGACTTTATAGATTTGCAAAAATATAGTTTTAACTTCAGTGTAAGGCCATACACACTTCAGAGTTAATCAAAACCTTTATGTGGGGGTGAGCAGTAGACTCATATCTTTGTTTTGGGGTGAACTATTCCTTTAGGATTGGGGGGTCTTATCCACACTGCAGTATCTGTCTGCAGAAAGCGACACAGTGTGATGCCACCAACGATCAGAATGTAATATTCAACTCAGATGAACTTGCTTTTGTTGGGAGCTGTGATCAGGACAGACTTCAGACGCTCTTTTGGCCTTTGTACTTCAGAATGTGTTTTAACTGTTTGACTTAATTCCTTCTCATAACTGAAATGCTGTTTTATTACAGATTGACATTAATGAATCTGCAGAGAGTTTTGACCATAGTTGTTTCTCAGTCCTGAAGATGGCAGAACAGGTTGTAGAGCAGAAGGTGTTATATTCAGTTATCAGAAGCAGACTGAATAAAATAAATTATTTGTTAAATCTAGTGCTGAACTGATAAGTCAGTTAAATTAACAGAAAAAAAAATCTGCAACTACTTCAATAACTAATCGCTTTTATGCAAAAATGCCAAACATTTACTGGTTGCAGCTTCGCAGATGTGAATATTTGCAAAATGTCGCTGTGAACTCTTGGAGATTGTGAGGATTCTTCACAGTTTTCTCATCAACAGCTTAATCGATAATGAAAATAATAATTAATTGCAGCCCTACCCTCATCATCCACCCTTACTGACTCTAAAAATAATATTATAGCAACCAAGACCTGACAGTGACCTAGTATTTACACATAATCAGTACACTGTTATTGATTCTTAAAACACAGACTGAAGCTTTTTTAATATCCCACGTCATCCCAAGGTTTTGTACGTGGAAGGTGTGTAACTGAGTATCTGCAGTTTTGTCACCTGGCCAGTGATCCTACAATGTGTTTGTTGTTTTAAGAGGCTCCATAGAAAAGGCCCAGATATGTCGATCTGCATGGGACTACTCGCTGCACTGAATGTCACAGGGCCAGACTCTGGGCCCGCACTGCTCACTGCCTTACAGGTGCAGCACCAATATAGCTCAATGATCATAACTGGAGAGACAGCATCCCCTCAGTCCTTCCCTCACCCTGGTTTATATCCTGTAGCCAGACCACCATCTCGTCAAGCTCACAGAAATCTGGATAAACTCTCACTTAAGAACTGACGGTGACGAGACTCCTGAGGCAGCCATTTGATTCACTGAGAGTCTGAAGATGGTTGCCCTCAGAGACTTCTGCCGCACTACTACAGCACACTGTGTCTCCACCCTTTGAGTGTAAATGAGTGCATTTACATGCGCGCTAGTTTCCTGGTTATGTGTTGTGCATATAAACGTCGTATCCTGGTTTAGGGTACCTAGATAAGCCCATATTTCTGTGTTTTTAGAAACCTGAATATGATAGTTGGATCATCCCAATAGAAACCAGGATCTAATGAAAAAAGGTTGCAGGTTTCTTCCATGTTTGCAAGTCCCAATAGAAACTGAAGTTACAATGTGGTTAGTCAGGAAAACAAAAAATACAATGATTGTTGCTCTTGTTAACCATTACTGGCGATCACATGGAGAAGTTAAATCCGGATGGTAAAAACAGCAGAGTGTACACTCAAAACCACAACACCAATGTGCATTTAAACTGACTCACTGACTTCTGTGCTTGAATTTCTCAGTGAGCTTGATGAGACGGAGGTCAGAGGTCTGCCCACATAATGCGTTACACCCCTCCTGACCTCACACACAGCCCTTGTGGACTTCATTCGTTTAAACGGTGACTAATACACATTACTTACTCTACAGGACCGCTGAGAGGTCCAGAGAAAACACCCTAAAAAAAGCTTAATGTCAGTAATAATAATTGCAGTATCCATAGTGTCATTGTCCATATCTTGCTGTAATATATACTCACTTCTTCCTTCACTTTCATCTTCCTCTTCCTCTTCACTTGTTTTCCTGTCCACCCATCAAACCTCAACTCACAAAGATGCTGTTAGGTCACACACGAGCGTAAAAGACACTTGTGTATTTGAATTTTCTTTCTTTTGTTTTGTACAGTTTAAGACATCACGTGTTTGGGGGCAAATTTAGACAATGTTCCAGACATATGTAGCAACTTTGTGGCCCGTCAGACCCGCCACATGTTATTTCTTTCTAAATCTTTAAAAAGTTTCTGATTTTTGTTTGTCTGTACATCATGATTATAACTGGTTGTGGTTTGTTGTTTTATTTCATGCCATTGTGATTCCTAGTGACTAGGCCATTAGTACACCACACTGGGGAGGCCTCCTCAACCATACACACTACCTCTACGTCTGCCTACACGGACTCAACCACTGAAATGCATGAACACAAGCACTGAACATGCCAGGCTGCAGCAGAGCAGATTGACAGATTGCGTGAAAAAAAAAATTCTGGACTAAAATTCTTCATATCTTACTAATGTTTGTATCTTGGACCCATAGTGACAAATAATTTGTGACGGTGCTTTTAATTTGCCAAAGTAGATTCAGGCTAGTGCGTTATGTTGGGTTGCAGCTGAATTGTTTCTGCATTACGCTATGATTTTTACACCATGCTTTTGAAGCAGCAGCAATGTAGTACTGCATTTAAAAAGATGTTCCTCCAACCTCCCTCGAAACGCCGTGTACATGCCTAATAATCAGGTGCCATAATTCAGCGCTGCTTGCCACTATTGTCCACATTGATTTGACTAATCAAAGCAGGTGCTTGTGTATTATTGTCAATATTTAGTATGGTCTGCAATCACCATGGAAGGAGTGTTGTTCAGATGGCCTCTTTAAGTGCAAGTATGTTATTGTTGTTATTGATAATCACTCGATCTGGGTTTATTTTGTAACGTGGAAATAGTTAAAAACTGGATTTTTTTTATATATACGTATATGAATATAATGCTGTAAAGTGCAGTCATGAATTACGAGATTTCTCTTTCACATCAATACAGTAAAAAGAATAAAACCACAGTGAAATGAGAGCTGTTTTTGTCCGTCTCCAGCACGCTGTTACAATGCAAGCATGTCAGTGAGTGTCCTGTGGGTGGCGGTAGTGTAACAAACAGGGATGGAAACCACAACTTGACAAGACGAAGAAGAAGAGCGGCCTGTGTGTGTCCGGTTAGCGAAGATGGCTCAAGGTTCACAGAAGTTTAAAGCTCAGCGGCCAGGAGCCAACAAGAAACACCAACAAAACAAACAGAAAGGGCCCAAGAAAGGAGGTACGGATTTAACAATGTTATTCTTGAAACAGTGAGTTTCTGAAAAATACGTGGTTTTAGTCAAATTACATCAACACGTGACCTGCACGGAAACAGCTGAACACGTTGTTCAGGTGGCTCAGGTCTGAATATATTATATACATATAATACATATATAATATACGTATAATGTACCCTATCCAGCAGGGATTATACTGACTAAACGAACACCTTTGGAGGCTGAAGGACAGCGACACAGATACTTTCTGTTTGAACTCCTCAGCTCTGCGTTTTGTTTTGGATGTTTGTAAAGAAACCTGTGAATACCTGTTTCATGTCTGCTGCAGTGCTTTATGATGTGTTGTTAATGAGCAAGGTAACGATAATATGACTCACTGTATGACTAATGTGATACTGTTAAACAGATAGCTTTACTGCAGTGTCATTATTCATCATCTGATACAGAAGTCCTGCAATAAATCTTTACCTCCATGAAGGTTATGATGTTCAGTTTTTGGTGTAAAATAGTTCTGTGTTGTACTGAAAAGTGTTTCTATTAGTCTGTCCACCCTGTTTATCTCAGTGAGGACATATTAGAGACACCTCTCAGTATTACACTGTACAGTTAAACTACACCACAGCCTTTATTGCAGGGTGGTTGTACCATAAACTGGCTACTTGGTGTGTTACGGGGTTAAATATTGATCTTGTTAAGTGATCATAATAAAACAGTTTCTTTATCTTAACAACAATTGCATTCATTACAATCACAATTTTCTAAGCAAGAAATTCTCTGATGTAGACAAACAAACCCTGGCGCTGTTGGTGTGGACAAATGAAGTTCCAGTATATCGATATTGATGATAAAAGAGAAAACCATTAATACGCAAATGATAATATCATACAAATAATCCAGCACCTCTTAAGTCATTTCTGGTTCTTTCCGTTCTTGCTTTGTGGTTCACTGTAATAACAGACTATAGAGACCGTATAAATGTGTAACAAATGATGTTTCAGGCCTGTCTGATTTAAGACAGACAGACAGACCTTCAAAGTGTGTGTCTATTATTTAATTTGATGGTTGGTAGCATTTGGAAGTGTGACAGTGATATGGTTTTGTTTTCTTTGTAAAGGGAGGACCATAGCACCTAAAAAGGCTCAAGTGGTTCAACAACAGAAGCTGAAGAAGGTGAGGAAGTTTGACATGACAGTTTCTCTCAGCCCAGCTCTTTTAGAAATGAGTACATGAGTGATCTTGACCAATTAATTATATTTAACATGACTTGCTCTGCTGTTCCCTGTAGGGCTTAGAGGTTGCCATCAGGAACAAGATTGAGCAGGAGGTGACCCAGAAGGCAAGCTTGTCCCTCCACAAGCCACTGAGTGTGGTTAAAGGGCCTGAAGGAAAAGGTAAAGGCAAGCCTGGAGAACCCCGTCCAGGAACCAGCTCCAAATAGGACCTGATAGACAACTGAACAGCTACACACCCGAGGATGAATGTTTTAACATTAAAGACTTAGTCATGGGATCACTGAGCCCATGGCTCAGATGTAAGATACATGCCAGCTGTCCTGATGTGTTTGATGATTTTCATGTAGAAATAGGTCTTCTTGTACAGATACCAATTATTACGTTTTTTACTTTACAAAGAAGTGTATAAAATAACAGAAGAGACATTCTGGATATGTTGTTCTTTACTAGACCAAGCAGATAACATAAACCTCCACTAGGGGGCACCACAGGACTTTACTGACTCATGAAATATGTTTGCTTTCTGTTTAAAACGTGAAGAAACTTAAGAAACCATCTTCTTATAGGACCTTTGGGTTTTACCCCCCTAAAAATTTTGTGAGTAAACATGAGCGGAAAAGATGCTTGACATAATGTTTGATGTTTGATATATTCGATACGTGCCAGAGACATCTTTACTCTTACCTGGTCAGCACATAGTGGGTATTTTGTGTTGCTTGCTTCACAAAACTGGGTGTGTCAGTTCACTGTGTCAATTCCAACCCAGCTGCGAGAATGCTTACTTATAAGAAGAATGAGTAATATAAGTAATCATTGATTACTGTGAAAATTTGGTCATAGCAGCAGAAAAGGTAAAAGGAAAAGCATTTAACTGAAATATAAAGCTTGTACTCAAGGTCAAGAATCCTTTGAGATATGTGCATCTCACTTTTCAAATAGACTCCAGCCATCACAGATAATTGTAATATTATTCATGGTACTGAATCCATTGGTTGTGTCCATTTTCTTTTTTGGGGGGGATTCTCCAGACTGGAATGAGATTTCTCTTATGAAGTCTGTCAAAAATTTGAATAAAATCCTTTTGTAAATGCTGGGTTTTTAAAAAGAAAGATCACAAGGGATGGCAGGTATTTTCCTGTAAAGTCCAGCAGTTGACAACTGATTTTAGAAGATGGGACAGAAGACGTCAGCTAACCAAGGCCTGTGAAGTGTTGATGCACATGGACAGAGGTGGATTTCCCACCTATATGCCCATATGTTGCTGGTTTATGTGAATTGGCTACATGGACAACCCAGTACTCCGACAGGCAGCCTGTTTGTTGAGTATCCGTGATAAAGAGGCACAAACAGTAAGAGTGTTTACGCTGTAGGATTCAGTGACATTATTCTGAGAGAGGATTAATCTCCACAGAACTGGCCACCTGCAATAGTCAGACCAAGTGTGGTGTTGTAACAAGAGTACTCAGTGTTATAGGAGAGTTGCTGTGGGACTCCTGTTGGGTCAGATTAGAAAAAGATACAGATCGATGCAGCAGAACCAGAGGGACCTTGCTTTTTATTTCACACATTCTGCCCTTATTACCCACAATACAACTTGACCAATGACAGTTCGATCAGAGATTTAGGATTACGGCAGGTTGTTAACTTCACTTAAACTCTTTTTTTCATTTTCAAATTTGTGGTCTTCAGACCTAACTGACGTTGACTCAAGTGACATCACTTGAGGTGGTTGATCACACTTCACGCAGCTCCCTCTGAAGCCACAAAACACTTTGTTCAACTTTTTTGTAAAACCTGTGTACAGTTATCCTTTAATGGATGAATTGAATTCAAATAGCCGAACAGCAGGAACGAGAGCAGTGTAACTAGGCAGCCTACTGTAGGTTACCATGGTGATGCACCCTTGCACCATGCTTTAAAGTAAGCATCTAATATATTGGACTAAAAAGCCAAGGTGAAGCCGTTTAGCTGAGGCGCGACCCGGGTTGTTTGTCTTTAATAAACACCGTCGAAGAAAGTGGGCCTGAATTTTCCCACCGACTTAGAAACAGACCAGCAGTGTGGCAGCAAGGTGGCCCGTGATAACACTGTTTGAACTGTTTTAATGTCAAGTCGACATACGCTCTCAAGCAGCCTGTGGCCGAGTGTGGCAAACTTCTAAATGAAATAATAGAGGTAATATACAATGTGTATGTAAAAAACGATACAAATGTCATTAAATACCACATACTGAGTTCTCTTTTATGAGGCATTTATTTAAATCCCTTGTAGCTTATGCAGTCCAGAAGCGCAATGTAGTTGAATCTACATTTAATCTTCATAATTGAGGTTTCTATGC